CCACCCATCGCCTTCCTCGATGGACAATGTTAGCTGACATAAGGGCAGACTGGAAGAGATCCAGTGGTGGTCAAACTAAAACATGGCCTCATCAGTCAATGAAATCCACAACAGTTAGTTTAAGCCAGCCAAGTAGGGAGGTGTTCACCGGCTTCCTGACTAGGTGGTGTCCTCAGGACGGTAAAAACCAATGGAGGCTGGAGACAATTGGTGACATGACTGAAAATCGTTCTCAATGGCTGGAGCAGATGCATCCACTCCTTATGACTTATAATACCTAATAAAACTATATGGTTCTTCGATAATACTATTCTTTTTGCCTTATATCCCTGTCTACTGTCTCTATTTTGCATTTCTTTTTACTTTCTTCTCTTTCTTTATGTGCTACATTAAGTGTGGCGACTCGCACTACTGCACATAGGTGCAAAGCACTTCTATGCTGAAACCAGCCAGCCAGCCACTTGTCAGCTAGATGCACCTGGCTCCTCAATGAGTGCTGGTGATCCCGACCCAGATCCACAGTTTCAAACACCAAAACGTTGTCCGCCAGACCACTAAAATATTTCAGTCAGTCTATCACCTATGTAGGATGATTATGTGGGTCTCAGAAAGTAACCAGTTTAAGATAAGCACTTAGATACATGTGCATCGGTGGCATAGTGGCTAGGACGCTCGCCGACCATGCACATGGTTTGGGGTTCGATCCCCGGCCACAGACGCACTCCTCTACCTCGCTAAGACAGAAATAATGCTGGTGAAGAGGAAAGGTTGATCATGAGGCTAGCAACCCAATCCTGTAAATAAACACTGCTACAGAAACTTCAAGCCACTTGCTTGAAGCCCTATGTTCTACTGGGGAACGTGAAGGAAAAAAACTTAGATACATATTATGAATGCTATAGAGTGAAGTTCACTTTATGTGTAATATATTTGTAGTCACATTTGAGGTAATTTGTCAAGGTTATTTTGAATCTCCCGTTGCCTGGTTAGATCAGACAGGCCTCCTTTTAGAACTACTTTGATCATAACTTGAGGTTAAAACGGCATTACGTAATTTGTGGCACAGCTCACAGTGGAATCAAGGAAGGGCACCTCGCTTTATTGGACACTGATCAGCTGCAAATAGCTACATTTTGGTGAATTCTCACAAAGAACCTATGTATCTACAAAGACCCCGTATTTCATTCAATAAAACTAGCCTTGAGGAAATCCAGAATGGTGTAAATAATTGATGGCTAACACCTACTGCGCAACAGACGTCCTACTGTTGATTTTAGCTTGAGAAGTGAAAAAGACATGCATGGATTGATCTAATCTCATGAATGTTGTAATATTGATGGTACCATGATAGAGAGTAAGTCAAGTGTTTCTTATCTTGGCATTAGTTTCTCTTCAAACCTTTGCTGGTCGTCTCATATTCTTATAGTTTCTACGAAAGTTTTCCGTCTGACTTATTACATAAAGAAGTTGAGGCACTCAGGTATAACCCAATCTCTTCTCATACAATTTATTAATTCATGTGTTTTGCCCATCATTCTTTATTATTCTCCATTATTCTCCCCTGAGCTACTCAAGAAAGACCATATAATACTACGAAGAACATTGAAGGCTGTAAGTAGGGTCAGTGCTATCCCTTTGACTCAACTAACCGACACTGTTGTCAATAGGCACATGAATTCTTGTAAACACTTAGCTAAAGTTATCTTGTCTGATAGTGAACATCCTCTTTATTCACATTTGTTTCCTTGTATCTCTTCGGGTAAGACCAGAAGAAAATTCACAAACATTTATGCTCGTACTACAAAATATAAAAATTCGACTGTACCATATTTGGCACGAGTATTGTGTGAAGAGACAAATATCAGAAAAGAACTTTTACAACTTTTAAATCATTAACTAAACTATAAAATGTAATGATGCATATTATTGCGTGTGTGATATGTTATATTATTTATTTATTATTCACTATGACCTAGAAATGGTGTATTTTGTTGTGGTTTTTATTTTTTCCTATTAACTATCAATATTTTTTAAAATTTTATACATTTATATAATTATAAATAGAGCTAAACCATTGCAATATTTAAAAGAAACGCTGAAAATTCCATGCTGTAAATTGTTATTGTTGTGGAATAAAATGATTATATTATTATTATTACCTCATCCGTCTAGGAAATAAGGTCTGAAATTTCGAAGTGATGGATGCTTAGTTCCAGTCTCAGAGAGAATACTATCACTTAATACGAAGTAGGTACCTCCAGTTGCTTAATACCAAACAGAGAAAGATGCGCATTCTAGATTTTACTTCTAGTCATTGTAAACAAAGTGATACTTAACGTGAGTTTAAATATGCGAATGGTGAACTTGATTTTTGAACAGCAATCCCTTCACATACGTTAGCCATCGGATCGTATGGCTGTCATTTCCTGAGGGAAGATTCTCAGCGGACTGAACAGTCTGTTCATCAAGGTAAATGATACTAAACTGTAATGCAATTTATTTTATTGCCAGTTGCATCAAGATGATTGGCAGATAGGTTTGGTTCTTGTGTCTGTTAACATGCAAACAAAAAGGGTCTACACTGGTAAGGAATCTCATAAACTAGCGTTAATCACTGATAAATACAGGGACTTCAATGGAAATTGAATACGTGTGAATACCATTCCTACTATATATTTATTCATAATCCCACCATTTATACCGAAAAATATTTGCATAAAATTCACGAAACAGTTACTAAACATATTTGCATAAGATCGATTTTAAGAAATAGAATAAAGGGCATAACTTTTAAATCGAAATAATATATGTATATATTTATGGCAAATTGTTGTTTCCAAGCAATTTTTATACAGGAGATTTGAAAACTATTTCATAAAGCGTCAACAAAGAATTGAATAAACAAGTAAGCATGAAGTTTCAAAACCCCTACTTTTTTTTATTCCTTCACGTTCCCAGTGGAATACAGGGGGCTTCAAGCTAGTGGCTTGAAGTTTCTGTAGCAGTGGATTTTATTTTTTCAGGATGGGGTTGCTAGCCTCATGCCTAACCTTTCCTCTTTAGCAACCTTATTACTGGTTTATGGAGGTCAAGGAGTGCGTCTGTGACCAGGGATCGAACCCTGGACCATATGAGGCGTGGTTGGCAAGCATCCTACCGCTGTGCCACCGACGCACAAAGCCAACTCCTCTCTACTACTGCTACTGAAATCTCCTACATTTACAACACGATCAGTATTGAATCAGAAGACATGAAGTGCATTCTCCGACGTCAGTGGATGTGGACAACCACTGAGATTACTTCGACTGAGAATTGTAGGGACATTAAACAGAGACAACTTAGAAGGCACCACAGAATCCTAAAAGCTTGCAACTTACATCAGACTGCAGTTAATAGGTATGCGGATGTAGGTCAGATCTACTAGGCAATGAAGACCCGAATACACTACTAAAAAAAACAACAGCCAGGTCAACTACTAGGTTATTGTCAATCCCGAGTGAACTCAGTGATAAGAAAAGTTGCAGAGATGATCACCTGCGAACTGAGTCATTACAAAGGGCACTTATTTCATGCTTTAAGAATCCCCTTTGGAATTAGCACTGAAGATGTTGTCTAGAAGGGGGATGAAGCTTAAAGAACACATGAACACCAAAAGAATGCGTGTCCAGTTGGACATAAGCGTTTAAAATTCATGAAAAAGACAAAGTTTGATCCATCACAAGGATTCTGAATAGGTGAATGCATGTCATTCAGTCGCCTAAGTGACATCATTCTTATTCTACCAAATCAACCACCAAATTATACAATTTGTAAAAAAATTATATTGGTAAAATCTCAGCGAGATTTAAATGAGTAATTCCAACGTTTCGTTCGGTAATCTGGTTCATTTGAATTATTTTGCAATCGAATTAAATTAACAAAGAAACTGTGTAATTGGCACGATCATCGTGTTTTCACTCTCTGTTGTCTGCAACAGAATGCATATCCTAAATCCGTAGCTGTGGAATCACCTGACAACCCCAGCAGGTCGAATAAAGCAGCTCAATCTTCAGAAAGAAGACAAAGCAATTAGTCCAACAGGGTGCTTCTACTAAACGCTAATCCTAAACACCATAATTTTGAAAATACATTTATTGATAAAATTCTAGATACTAACAGTTTGAACAGACATGAAGGCGTGATGTTAGCTGATGCATTGGAAATTCTTATTAATAAATAAAAAATGGATATGTATCACTAATTATTAATACTTGGTCGAAATTCTCGACTGTCCATATCTTCTTATGGAGACGTTAAGAAATGTTTTACAACTGTTTACCCACACACATATACACACTGTGTTTAAAGTGTTTAACAAAGGTAGACCAATATTTGTAAGTCCGAGGTCAAATTTTGATCACACCTCATAAAATTTTGTTTATTATACTTGTTGATACTTGTTGAATGACTCATGATTGGATAAGGTTTTTAAAAACAAGTGGTGTTCCTTTTATATATATACCTATGTTATGTTAATTTCGATTAATTTCCCTGAAGAAGTTCAGACCAGATTGCCGAACGAAACGTTGGAATTACTCATTTCAATATCGCTGAGATTTTACAAATATAAATTTTTTACAAATGTCTACTTCTCACTCGGCGCCCAAATATTTTAGAACTGTTCTGTCAAATCTTGACGACAGTTCATTTGAATATACAATTTGTTGTATAGGTGAGACTAAGACTAGCTACGAACCAGTAGGTACAGAACCAAGCGTTCGTTTAAGTAAAATATCTATTATCATTTGGTTATTTCCTTTGCATTCCTACTGAAACATAAGGCTTCAAGCTTGAGCTTTTAAGTTTCACTAGTGGTGATCTCGTCTTCTTGAGGGTTGAAGTTCCCGGACTCACTACCAACTATGCGAGGTTTAGTAGTGCATCGGCCAAGGATCGAACCCCGGAATAAATGCGTGGTTGACGAGCATTCGACCAGTGGATAACCGACTCATTCACATAAACTAGCAATGTATTTTTAAAAATGTGTCACTCACTGTATCATGCTTTTCACTGGTTCTTTGAAAATAAGGCAAAACTTCTGTGCCGAATTCCGAAGTGCTATTATTGTGTTTACCGAATTCCACATGACTATCCAGCCGTTTTCTCGCTTTCCTTTTGTTTCCAAAGATTTTGGCAAAATTTTCAAACTTTTTCCACTGGACAGGTTCATCTTTCTCCGAGGCTGTATTCGAGGAATTCGCATCACACTTTGGAAGGAATATGGCATCTCTGTGCTTTCCTCCATCGAAATTGTGAACTGTACTGTAACTATGACCGCAGAGTTTACTGGTGGTCGACGGTGAACTCGTTTTTAATTTAAGCTCATGACCATGCTTACTCATCTTGCTGCGCATAGTTTTCAGTAGATCTTTAACAGATCTATTTCTAGCACTTTGACTTGTTTGTTCATTTTCGAAATCTGCAGTCCACTCAACAGATTTTCGTTTGTACTGTGTATAATGATGAAGTGATTCAAAGTTGGACTCGAAATTGAAGCATGACCGACTAGTAGGCTGAAAAAGCAAACTGTCTTCTGATTTCTGATCATCAAAAGACCTTGTGTTCTCCATAGTAGATTGTCTACTGGTCAGCATATTCAGACACTATCTATCTTCAGTCGGACAGTTATTTGTCTCACTTATTCACCGTGTATTCACTAAATAATAATGATGCATTTTTCCTAATTATAAGAAAACTAGTGAATGATAATTCAGCGCTTAAAACACTGAGTATTTATCAATATTTGTTGGTGCTTTTATACTGTTCTCTTTACTGTTATTAACGCTAGTCAGGTGATCATTTTTATTAAAGGCAATAACAACAATAATGACCTTATAGTTGATTAGCCATCAGCTGTAAGGATACAAAAGCAGTAATATTTTCAACTTTTAACTGCGTTTAAGAAGCTATTGTCATCAATATTGACCTGTTTTATAGACGTATCTAATATTTTTTTCTAACTAAGGTGAAGACAAGCGGCTGTTTATGCAGTGAAACCTCTGTAGTAGTACATATGGTTCATAATATAACAAATACCAACCACTCACAGTGCACCGTGATGGCGAGTCACCTAGTGGCATGGTGACCACATTGCAAACTTGACTGATGGAATTCAAAGTCAATCTGAACGAAGAATATTCTTTTCAATAATTTCTCTTCAGGTTCTTACAATTATAAAATATAATATTTATTGTCGTCATGCCTATACCATTTCAACTGTTCCTGTGGTTCAAGTTATATAGGGCGCACGATTAGGCAGGTTCATCTACGGGTTCGAGAACATTTACCAGCTTGGTTCAGCAGGGGGGAAATTAAGTGCATAAAAAGTTCGATCCTGTCACACTTGGTCGATACTGGACATAGCATCGATGTCAACACAGCTTTCAGGGTTATATACCGAATTCCGAAGTTGTTATCAAGTACAGTTCGCTTACGTCTCCTACACATAGCTGAATCTGTTGCAATAAGATCGACTAAACCGGAACTTTGTATCCAAAAGGAACACGTCCAGACGCTGTTCCTACTGTGGCCAAACTTGGATTGATGATTCTTCTTCTCACCAAGAGTGCTTCTTCCCCTTAACCCTCTTGGCTTTTTTCCTTTGCTTATTATTATTAATTATACAATTATTATTATCATTCGTCATAATTTATGCCCTTCATGCAAACATTCTCTCAATACTATCGAATTTTTCATTTATACAATTCGGACTTATTATTAGTGATATTATCTCTTTTCTCAATATATGCCTACACCTGTTTCACTTCACATATTCGTTATCTCATTATGAACCTCCCATTGCAGTCTTACTATCTCCTGTTTAACACAGACCACTTTGTACTAGCCACTCACCTGACACCTTTTATAATCTTGAACTGACTTGTCAATTTTCCTACCCCCACTCTACAAATCTATTATGACTAATCACCACCATTGTCTCCCGTTTTACATTATTTTGTAATCGAATTCAGCCTAGCACGTTTGTCACACAAATACGACTATTTATTTTGACACCCCATAACTAATCTGTTATTCTACGTTAACGAAAATGTATCTGCCGCATAAATGGCCTTTAATGAATGAATATTATATTATATTATGAATATTATATTTTATAATTGTAAGAACCTGAAGAGAAATTATTGAAAAGAATATTCTTCGTTCAGATTGACTTTTAATTCATGGGATATGGGAATATTTCACACTATCAAATCTTATAACTCTCATGATAGAATTTAGTCTGCACCAGAGATAGGACTAGACACACATGTTACACTAGTTGCTGACTAGTGTCCAATGAAAACTATCCAATACAGTCCTACAGGAGGTCAACCGCTAGCCCGAATCGCTCAGCGGTAACGTCTCTAACTGCTGGTAGCACTGGGTGACGCGGGTTCGAATCTCAGAAGGGACATGAGTTCCTTCGAGGTTGCAGATACGCCCTGCTGACCGGTGAGTGCCAACTAGCACGAAACCTAGGTCAGGCTGGGCTTCCTGCCGATTGCCTTCAACTATCTAATCTGAATTCTTGTTAGTGATCAACTGGTTTGAAAATTAAAGCATTACGTAATACATAAATCTACTTTACTTTCCGCCCTTCTTGAAATTCAAACCTTGCTGATGGCAGAGTATTGCAGTACTTGGAGAAGATAAGAATACTTTGCGAGTTTCGTGATCGGGATAAAGCTTATTATACTCTTTCAAATGAAAAGCGTGTAAACAGAGTGAACTTTGACATCGTTAGAAACCAGCTCAAATGGCAACTCTAAAGAATAGCAGCCCAAATCGAAACTACCTAGCGAACGGACAAATGACCTTGAGCAACAAATCAGGTGACTCTGTTTTATCCAGACGTACTTATGGGTACTGTACACCTTTTCCATTGCAAATTCGCTCCAGATCTCGTTTTGATTACTGTTTGGAGAACGGACTGATAGGAAGGTCGAAAAATTGCCAATGTGGAGCGATACAATAGGTGCATCGATAGGTTTGTTTGTCGGTGAAATGAGTGCCGAATCAGAAAATCAGTTTGAGAACGTATGTCTTTCGTTTTTAATTTACAGATTCCTTAGGTAATTTTGATAAAAAGAAAATATAATCGAGGGAGACTGAGTGCGAATCAGCAATAGGTATTGAGGATATATGACACCAGCCTCCACAAAAGGATATATTGAGGCGATCCCTAATCGCAGTGCAGGTGTATTATTGCCTATTATCCAGCGCTTAGTGCTGCCTGGGACGACTATTCGTACAGATGAATGGAGTAGTTACAGTCAGTTATCGGGTCTGGGCTATATTCATCAAGTGGTCAACCATAAAAATGGTTTCCTCATTCGTTTTGATGGAACTCACACTAATTCCATCGAAAGTTTCTGCAGTCAACTCAAAAAACGTATCAGATCTGTGAATGGATCAAGAAATGTAATGATATACAATTATCTCGATGAGTTTATCTACAGGACTTGGTTTAACATGAGTATCAAGACTCCTATGAGAAACTGGAAGGTTTTTTTGCAACATATACAGGAACGTTGTCCATTGTAACTATTTTTTAACATTGCATTACTTTTATATAAACGATTTATTACAATTATGCACCGTTTTTGAGCCTTCTGATTGGTCGAAGTTGTCCTTGTGAAGTTATTTGTCCGTTCGCTAGGTTGTTTCTGTTTGGGCTGCTATTATTTAGAGTTGCCATTCAAATTTATGTACTTGAAATTAGCGCGTCAACAGGCAAACCTAATAATAGAAAGATCAGAGAATTTAAGGAGGAATCATCAATACTCTACAAATTATAATTATAAGACTGAAGTGACAAGAGTGTTTAACTGTGGACACATCGTACAAAATTAGTTTTGTAGTATATAATCTATAACCTCCAATCATCATCGAGTTCACGATCCAGTGAAATGAAACCAAGAAATCGTCACTTCTCTATAAAATGCAGATCAGTATACAGATTTTGTTGATTATTTAATCCGAATTGTGATTACTATTACTTTCAAAATGGCAAAAGTATTCATTCAGACATCTATAAAACACAAAATAATCGAGCGAAGAATATTCTTTTCGATAAATTCCTCTTCTGGCTCTACAGTTCAATATATATATGTTTATATACACAGAATATTTTAAATTAGTAGTTAATACCAATATTAGTGTTTTTTAAATAATATCGATTTGTAAAGTAAGATCACGGTGGAATGACAGTTCATTAAAGATGCTTAAATTATAATAATAATACTGAAGAAATAATAGCGAATAGAATATCTACTAAAATTAGGGAAATTTCACAAAAGTTCTGGATTATTCAAACCTGGATGGCCAAGGTAATGATAATGACTGAACTAACTTCTTTTGGATGCATAAATTAGGCTTATCAATATGGATCCCCACAGCCTCAGCAATATTTAGAAGTTGAACTCTTAAAGCGAAATTGAGATTCGTAGGTATGCGGTAAATGACCCTGAATGCATGATTAACGTCAATCTTGTGTTCTGTCTGCACAATATGAGCCAGAATAGCGCTGCAAATAGATTTTGTTTGTCCATCGCTTAAACAGGCAGGGTGATGTTTGGAAATTTGACGAGAAAGACGCCTAATTGTACGGCCTATGCAAGTAACTGGCTCACTCCACAGGAGCAGTTAAATTGGTAGCTACACATGGAGTAGGAGGCGAAATTGGGTAGTTTGTCTTTTATTCCCGAACGCAAAAGAGGAGTGGTTTTAAAGATACAGCGTAATTCAGCAGCAGGGAATGCTCCTATTTTTACCGCATTTCTAAGGCGCTGTGTTAGAATCTCACTTTTCCAAACTAATTCATTTCAAAATAACACAATGCCTGGAGATTAATAACAGATCGATATGATTATTAAGCTCTGAAATTACATTAGACTGTCTGATTACAAAACTTCAACTAGTTTATCTTTTTGCCTAATTCTTGAGCTCAGAATAGCTCAACAGACATTACGCATAAGTAATAAGAAGGAGATTACAGAGATTAGAATTTTATTCGCTATTTTGAAATGAAGCCTTTTTTCTTTAGTAGGTACACACAGATGTTAGCAGCAAATATAAATGGCTTTACTTCACAGAGTGAAACAGGCCCTAATTCACCAAAAACCTTTTTACGATAATCCGATGAAGTAAATCACGTCTCCAGCTTACGTCACTATCCCACTCGTTATTATTAGGAAATGGCTCTATGAAAATCGGTTTAAAGGTAGTAATTCGTATCTGATTAAAGGCGGAAATGAGAAACGCTTTTCTATCAACGAAGGGTATGTTAGAAACTCTGAATTCCATCAACATGTGTCTGAATGAGGCAGTTTCATCGAATAATTGGTCGCTAAGAAAAGAGGCGAGCTATTAACGGGGGGAAGTTAAATATCTGGGATGAAGATGATTAAGTGTAAATTGTTGTTAGCCGTATTAAAATCCAAAGCAATCAAGTAAAGGACCCTCAGAATGATTGATGATCTGTATTCTGAGCGTTATTCCACGTTAAGGATTGAATTAAACATCACTTTTGGTTAAAATGTTGCCAGCATCAGATTTTAATAGATTTTTGAGGATTACCTGAAGGAATATGCAG